ACAGTCGAAAAACGGATTTTTGGATTAAAAGCTCAGTAACTCCGTGTAGAATGATCGGATATCCCTCAAATTTGGCACATATGTTCTTCCTAAAACCTATATTAATTACTGGAACTTTTAGCCCGCAAATTGCAAGCGCTGCCGAGCTATTCAACGATCTTTGAAGAGGCCATGGAAAATGAGGAGAGACACCATGGATAATTTGATGGCCATATCTTTGGGATGGATGGAAGAAGAAGAATGGTTTTTTGTAGGATGAAAGAAGAGGATATTTAAATATTGTAAGAGAAATTTCAAAAAATTTGCTTGAGGATTACGGTAATTATGAGCGAAATTTGGGGAGGCAGTCGAAAAACGGACTTTTGGATCAAAAGTTCAGTAACTCGATGTAGAATTATCGGATATCCCTCGAATTTGGCACGTATGCTCTGTCTAGAATGTGTATCAACTACTGAAATTTTTAACTCGCATGTTTTAAGCGCTGCCGAGATATTCAACAATCTTTGCGGCCGAGAGACTATGGAAAACGAGGAGAGACACCACGGAAAATTTGAAGGCCATATCTTCGGGATGGATGGAAGAAGAAGGATGGTTTTACGTAGGATTGAAGAAGAGGATATCTAAATTTTGACGAAAGATTTCAAAAAATTTGCTTGAGGATTACGGTAATTATGAGCGAAATTTGGGGAAGCAGTCGAAAAACGGATTTTTGGATTAAAAGTTCAGTAACTCGATGCAGAATTATCGGATATCTCTCAAATTTGGCACATATGCTCTGTCTAGAATGTGTATCAACTGCTGAAATTTTTAACTCGCATGTTTTAAGCGCTGCCGAGATATTCAACAATCTTTGCGGCCGAGAGACTATGGAAAATGAGGAGAGACGGTACTTCGAATTTTGCATAAAAAATCTAACAAAAAATGCTGGACAACTTGATAATTGAATTCAGTGGTAAAGAGATCGTATTTTAAAATGGTTTTCAGTAACTCAGCAGTGAGACAAAGCGGATTTTCTACAAAAAATCACAAAAAAAGTTCAAAAAATTTTAAAAAAAAGAGCGGCTTAGACTGATCCGATTGACCTACCCCGATCACGTACTACCTATATCTCCCTCATTTCTGGTAATTCACACGTATTCTCCTCCAAAATCAGCAAAAATTCGATGCTTTTTCAAAAAAAAATACTGCACAGTGCAATAATTCATTGAAAAAAATTTAAAAATGACGTCAATTTTTAGAAAGTAATTGGTTTAAAAGTTGTTTCATACAATTTTAAAACCTTTTTAAAATCACTGTAGACACTTTTAAGGCGTTTTTTGTAGCGTTTTAAAGTAATGACTGATTCAATTTTGTTTCTTTTTAAAGGTCTAATTGGACCGAATTTCGAGACAATCTGATTACCGACATGTTTACAGTGCGGTAAATAAAGGAATGGTGGACTTAAAATAGTCTACCAAAACATTGGCGACCAAAAAAAATGAGTGCACTGTGCGGAACTCGAGATTTTTTGGAATTGCACTGTGCGGAGACAAAAGAATTTTTAAAAACTTCGTTCTGCACTGTGAACAACAAAAAATACATAAAATTTTTACCCTGCATGTATAATATGGAGTATCAAAAATTTTTTGAAGGAAAAATTCCACCGGTTACCCCGCTAGCGACGTTTTATACGAACGTTTTTGTATTGCACAGTGCGAAATGAATTTTCATCAAAAATTGCACGGTGCAAAGTTTTGGCAAGGAAGATTGCATTGTAACATGAAGAATAAGCAATTTTCTAACACTGTAAAATAAAATTTCGGCCCAAATTTTACTGCAATGTGCGAAAATATACAGTATTTTTTGCCGCACAGTGCAGAGTGCAAAAGACCTTGGAATCAAAATATAAAAGTGAATTGGTTTTAAAATACGTTGAAAGGTATGTCGGAATAAATGTCATGTAATCTACTCGTAGGTATTTACGATCATATGACATAAATTGCAAAAAAATCCCAAAAAAATAAAAAAAAAATTTTTTTAATTCAACCAAAAATGATATAAAATTGATACACTCGAAACAAAAAAATCCGAAATCCTCCCTTTTTAGATTTCATTTTTAATCCGTGAGCAAAAGAGAGCCGATAGACCTCGAAGAGTCTCCAAATGACAGCTGTTTTATCTCAAATAATTCGTTTTACATGTGCGTAATAAAGTTTTACAGCGCATTCGGCGCTTAACAGACACTTACGAGCATTAAAAAATAATTAGCATTCAGTTTAGCCGGGTTTACAGGTGTTTTACGGCTTTCGTGGCGGGACCAAATTGAGTGCACTGTGCGGAGAAAAAGAGGTGATAAAATCTTGAGCTATGAGGTGATTTGAGGTGTTCAAATGAAGCGATACTAAATTTCGGTACGCAGAAAGTCATAACAACAAAAAATCAAATTGCTTGGACATCATCGTTAGCTTTTCCCGCAGAACCAAGTTGACTGCACTGTGCAATTTTAAAATTTGCCAAATTTCGCACCGTGCAAGGTGTAAAAATTTCTAAAAATAATTTAAAACTCTTCAAGACCCCTTTTGGAACCACCTATCCCAGTCTAACGCCAATTGCGCCTCAAGAAAAGTTGTCGTGGCAGGACCAAATCTGTTGCACAGTGCAAATAAAAAAAGTTCAAAAGATCCCATTGCAAATATAAAAATCAACTAGAACTTAACATAACGAGACAACATTTTGCTCTTGATAAATAGTTCGTGTCCTCCGTTCTTTCCAAATTAAAAGCCCTTAGGCAAACAGTAAAGTTCATAAAGCTTTTCATTTATTATATTTACTTTTCGGATTTGGACCGTCACTTTTTCGGAATTAGCAAGGGTTTTGCAGAAAAAATCACACCTGCCAAGATTTACTCGTCATTTCAGCTAATAATTCCGCGAGAGGAAGAGTTGACCCAAAAGGCAAAGTTTGGGTCAAGTTTTCCCTCGAAGGAAACTAGACGTGCCCTTCGGGGAGGACGTTTTTTAGTGTCATAACTTGTTAATTGGTATAGATTTAGAGCCAGAAACCTGACATTACACAGATTTTATAGTTTTAATTGCAAATTTTTCGAATTCTTGCAACTTGCACGGTGCAATATTTCAAATGTCCGGCATGGCATCGCAAAACCAAAAACATTTTATCTGGATCATTTCACTTGTTTACAGAGTCCTTAAAAGGCGATGGAATCCCATTTCCAGTCACCATTATGACACATCAATCTAAAACAGCAGCCTGAAGCTTTCGCACAGTGCAATGGTCTAAAACATGATCCTCAAGTGAAATTTTAAATTTTTATTTTGAAAAGTAGTAGCGTATCTATCGTACAGGGTCTTACAGCACCATTAAGAAGGAAACGAACAACTGGAAGATCGTATTTTACCAATTACCATCAATTTTTTGCTAATTTTCGCACTCAAACTTGATAAGCTCATTTTTATTTCGACCTAAATGAGGTCTCTTGTAACACAGAGTGCAATACGAACCTTTCGACAATTACGTCACCATTATAGCCCCAAAAAATGGGATAAGCGTCGCAAAGCGGTCATTTCTGTCTATAATCCGGCATTAACCTAGTTGGTTTAGGTTCCCTCCAAAAAAATGGCTTGTTTTAAAGCAAACTGTTTCTAAAAACTATGTTACAATATTTATAGGATCCTATTTAATATACAGAACGTATTTTACCCCACTTGTCTTCCGCCTGTCATACCTAAAATACGGTTTTCCGAGAAACAGTAGGATTTTCGACGAAATCTGACGATTTCCTCAATTTTCAGTCGAAAATCTTGGTCGAATAGCGCTAAAACCGTTCGTATTTTACCGAACGCACTGCTGGTCAGCAGTTTGCTCACGGCGCAAGAGCGAAACGCACGTTTTCTGACAAAAAACAAAATTTTGTTGCGTATTTTCCCCCGACATTTTTTCTGCGACGTTTTTTTGTTCGCAGAAAAGTTTTCTTGATGTGGATGGCGTTATTAGGCATTTACATGGTCTTTTACATCGAGCTTTGTCATTCTTCAGCATCAGTGGGCTTGTTTCTTCAATTTTTCATCAATTTCTCCGGATCGCATGGTGAATATCCGAAACTTTTGCAAATTCTGAAATTATTGTTATGTCTCAAGTGCTGAAACTTTACAACTAGCTTTTCTATGCTCTTCACGACATGCACAGCGAGTTTCAGCCAATTTCGTTAGTTTTGCGCTGAGCTGCACTGGTTTTTATTTCATCTGTCATGTGCAATATAATATTTCAGCTGATTCTCGTTGATGTCAAGCTGGATTTCTTTCGAACTTTCTACACTGTGTACTAAGTCTATTGGCTATAGTTGCATGAGATTTGGTGAAGAATTTTGCCTTTGATTTGTGTGTTTTTCCGTAAGGTTAGTATAAGAAAGTTTTGTCAATTTCTCGCGGCTGTCTGTAGATGCGTTCCTGAATCTTTAGTCTTTGCTAGATTGACCTATGACTGATGTTGCTGCCCATTTTCGTACTGATTCATCCATTTTGAACCGAGTTCCAGGGCTATTTTTGTTGTTTGTCATGGATAATATAATTGGCCCGCTTTGTCGCGTCAATCCGCCCGCCAACTTCATTATCGTACACCACCTTGCGCTCTATTATTCAGACATTGCATGAAATTTGGTCTCGATTTCGGCATTCCACAGTTATTTTTTCATGGTGAATATCAGGTTGTCGTGTCAAAAAAACTTTTGTTTTGACTTGAAACGCATGCATACTTTATGCTTCGAATCAGCAGTGTTCCTGCTGTTTTTACACCGTGTTTGGACAGCGGTTGCATGACCTGGCGGCCTCAAATCGCAGCTTGAAATGTTCTTTGCATGTGTAATATGGGAATAATATTTTCGACCGTTGTAACTCGAAGTTTGTGCCGTGGATTGTTGTAATCTTGCCGAATATGAGGTTTTGCCGCTTTTGCACGCCTTTTCGATTGAATTTTGGTGCGTTTTCAGGTTGTTGTTGTAGCTGAGAATGGCCAGTTCGCAGACGACGATCGTTGTGGAAAAGGAGAGCAGCACGGACCCAAAGTTCTTCTTCTCGGCCAAATCCGACATCTTCTTGACGCCCAGCTCCTCCACCGGCTCGTTGAACGGGATGTTCTGCCGGATTTGCCATCTCAGCGACGGCGACCTCATCAAGCCGTGTCGATGCGCGGGAAGCGTAAGTTTCCACCATTTTTTTGTGTGTCATACTCTTATTTAGACGTGGAAGACCCCTTGAAGTTTAGACAAGGCTGTAAAGTCTCTTTTACAGCCCATATTTCCCATTTATGGCAAGTTTTTTCAGATCGGTCATGTCCACAAGAAGTGCCTCGAAACCTGGGTCAAACTCTCGGAATGCGTCCATTGCCAGGTGTGCCAGACCCGCTACGCCCGCACCTTCCCTAGGCTCAAGCCGTTCAGAGAGTGGGAGCGGCCAACGTGGTCGTTGATGATCGGAGTAAGCCTTTTTATATTGTACTTGATATCTGATGGGTAATATTGAATTTTTTGACATAATATATAGTTTTTATATATCTTGTGGGTCTGTATAGGGCGTTAGTGGGATGTTGAAGAGTTTCTGTGGTCGTTGACAATCGGAGTTAGAGATTTTTATATTATACATAGCTGATGGGTAATATGGAAGATTTAGGTTGGAAGGTTGATTTTAATGGAGATAAATGATCTAAACAGCTAAATAGCACCGTCTAAAAAGTAGTTTGAGGATTACAGTCGCATAGAACTGCTTTTTTACCGAGGGAAACACTTGACCCGAAAATGGGTCAACTCTTTCCCTGACTGATATAATCAGGGGTGGTCAGCGGACCCTATTTTTCCGATTTTCGGCCCGCGGCCCGGCCCGTCTAATTGACCGGCCCGGCCCGGCCCGTCTAGTCTTTTCCAGGCCCGGCCCGTGACGGGCCCGGCCCGGCCCGTGCAGGCCCGTCTATAGAGGGTTCTGCGAACTGCGCCCAGGCTCGGGATCTAAACTGAGGCAAAAAAGGCGTTGATCTAGCTAGTAAAGGATCAATGTGATAGTTTTGTGGTTCTATAATGGAACTATAGACTTGTAAACGTGTTAGAACTTGAGAAACAGCAACTATAACAACATCAATTAATTTTCCCGGCGCGAAAACAATGAATGCCAACGGTTTGGCATTGTATTTTAGACGGGCCGGGCCGGGCCGGAAAAACCCCAGGCCCGCGGCCCGGCCCGGCCCGTGACGGGCCCGGCCCGTTTGTCAATTTCCATTTTTGAGGCCGGCCGGCCCGTTTGGGCCGGGCCGGGCCGGCCCGGCCCGCCGACCACCCCTGGATATAATGGTTATTTTTGCAGGTGGTCCTCGTCCTAACGCTTCTCGCCTACCATGTGTACGCGTTGCATCATTCCTGCACCAATCGGACCATCAACACCACCCACCTGGTCGTCTACATCTCCATGTTGACGGTGGATCAGGTGGTCCTGCTGGGCATGTTGATGGTCTACCTCTCCGGTCAAACCGTTCAAGCGTTCACGGATCGCAAAGCCCAGAAACGGGACAAACGCAAAGCGTCCAAGGAGACACTGCCGAAAGTTTAGAAGGTCTATTTTTTCTCGAGGGATTACTGTAACAAAATTGGGATTACTATAGTTTCTAGCGGCTCTAAGTTCAATGAAATGGGTTTGTATTCAATATGGCCCCTTTTCATGACACTTACACACTCTAAACGGTGATTTCGATCCTGTTACAGTAACCTACCGTAGTCTTTTACTTTTTAAGTTACAGTATTTTAAAGTAAGTTGAATGTTCGCGGGTCCAACTGTCTTCCATCCTAATTGATCTTGCCTCCCCAAATACGTCTATTTGTTTATGTAGTTGGATAATTGTTGTATGTTCGTTCCTTTTTTGGCATAAAATGCTTTCAAGTAAAATTTATTTGGATAACAAATAACAGTAACAACGAAACGGTTATTTCTTCTTTTTCTTTGGCTTGTTCTTCCCCACCGGAAGTCTGAATGTGGGTTTGACGAATTTTGGCTGTGGTTTTTCGGGTTCGGCCTGAAAAATTATGTTGTAGTAGGCAATTTGCGAAACAAAATGAAAAGAAATGTGATTGGGTAGCGCTTAAAAATCGTGTTATACTAGCTCACTAGCCTTTCATGCTAAAATGAACCCGCAAAACGAGGATTTCGGCCGAGGAAAACATTTGACCCAAATGAGTCAACTGTTCCTCTGGCGTTCAAATCGACAAAATTCAATGGAATTTTGGTTGGCTATTATCCAGAAAGCATAAAACCGTCTTATTCAGTCTACTCTGGCAGTTAGAAATTTCTTGAGGCCCATAAAATTGGTCGATTACCTTACCTTAGGTTCTGACAACTTGAGCTGAATAATCAACGGTTCGTCCTTCCCTATTCCAATAACTGATACTTTCGGCATGTTCAGCAACACACTGAGCTCCTTTGACAATCCTTCGGCTTGATAGAAGTCGCAATTTTTGCTAAAAATAAACAAATTTATGAAAAAAACCTACTTCAAAGACATCAAATTGAAAACATGAGCTACTGCCGATGGTCCAACAACCGACTTGTCGATAATAAAAGCTCCCAGCTCATTGTTGTTCAATTGCCGTAGTGCTGAACGCATGCCAACGAAGATTTTGGGCTAAAATCGAGGTTATATTATACATGGGTCATGTATCAGGTAATATTTGCCTAAAAACAGTAACATAATAGAAAAATCTTACCTTATTTTCCACCTCCACCTTCTTCTCATCCTCTGTGACGGCTTCATTTGAGGTACCAGCCTTTTCTTCACGTTTCAACCGTCGTTTTATTCCTCTGGACGTCTGCCGGGCCAAATTCTCTGATGAAATAAGTGTTTTTAGATCGGAGAAGTCGCTCAATCTCCTCCAATTGTCTTTCAACGTCACTGCCGACTTCACATACGGCTTCAGCACCTTTGGTTTAGCCATTAATGTCTAATTTTTGGTGCAAAAATAAATTTTGCAAGAATAATATTTGGCGCGAGCTGCGCCCGAGCTTTTGAAATTCTTCTCGTCAAAATCATTTTTTCTCGGAAATCCTAATATCTACTATATTTTGTAGCCGAATGGCAGCAAATACTGCCCAAACACAGTCCGAAGATGCTAAATTATTCGCTGCAGCCATCGAGGAAGCCCTCCAAACATCTGAAGATGCGCTAAAATCAGCTGAATCGATGGAAAAACAGATCACAGACCTCATAAACGAAGATGTTAGTGGTGGAATCAGCTTGTACGACCTGAAGAATCATGAACTCTCGGCGTATTTGTTGAATTTGGGGATTTTAATGGCCAAGATGTCACTTGGAGAATCGATTGAAGGGTCGAAAACATTGGATGAACTGATCAAACTTAGAGTTGTAAGTTTTTACTATTTTTGTTTTGTTTTTAGGTAGATTATGAGCTCTGGAGTTAGTTCATGTCTTCACAAATCTTTTTGACCAGTTAAACAGAAGTCTGACGTGTGATTTAGGGCTAAAAATCGTAATCTTGCTCATGACCAAGTGTAACATAGAATTTTGAGTTATTCTCTAGGTAGATGAAGAGGGATGGCTACGATTTTTATCAGGTAGACAAAGAATGATTTCTTCTTGCTTATTTTTGTTGTTTTTGCTATTATAATGGATGAGTAATGTCTTAATTTATCCATCTTTATGTGCATCATAGCTTTTGTAGAAATCGGTTAGAAATCCACAAATCTCTGGTTTATGTCTTTCAAAATGCGTCTCACTAATATGCTATCGCATTTCTAGGTACTTGAGCGAATTCGACCGATCGAAAAGAAGCTAAAAACGCAAGTCGATCAACTTCTTCGAGGTGGAAATGAAGAAGACAAGGATTTGACGATGCACGCTCGTCCCGAGATGTTTAATGCCGAGGAAAGCGAGGGTGAGGGCTCAGAGGACGAGGACTCAAAGGCAATGAAGAAATATCAACCGCCGAAAATGGTGCCCATGCATTTTGACGAGAATCAAGAGGAAAAGAAGGCCAAACAGGTAAGATTTTTCTTTGAATTTTCGGAATTTAGATGTTCAATCGAGCGTACTGGAGCAAAAATTGTGTTTATTAATGCCAATTGGCCTTGTGGAGGATTGATTTCCGCACTAAAATGACCTTGTTTTAGTTGGAGAGAGCTCGAAAGAAGGCGATGCAATCCTCGCTGATCCAAGACCTCCGAGCCCAATATTCCGATGCTCCAACTCTCATACGTGATGGCCCGTCCATGAATCGAATGGAACGGGAGCAGCAAAAGTTCGAGGAGCTGAATTACACTCGTCTTCAGCTCAACAAACACGAAAAGAAGATGACAAAGCGGAAGGAAAACATCGAAACGCTGGACTCACTCCTCAAATTCGGAGATTATATGGCAATGGACACGGTGTTGGAGGATGGAGCTACCAAAAAGAAGTCAAGAGGGCAGAAACGTCGAGGCGGGCCCGCAAAACATAAGGGGAAAAAGAAGAAGCACTAAGTTCAAGGATAATATGGTTGTTATTTCTTATTGTTACTTGTTTTTGTTCTAGTGAATCGATGGAATGTTCTGGATTAGGTCTAGATTTTTGGATTTGAAGAGGTTTTTCGTGGATTAGAGGGAAAATTTTTCCTTGTACTAGGCTAAATTAAGGTAAATTTTGATGGAAAATGTTGAATTTTTTGCTCAAATCAGTAGAAATATGTCTTGAAGAGCCGTAATAGAGCTTTTGAGAAGAGAAGATACCATTATCTTGATAGATATCTTCAAAATTTCCACTTTTTTGATCAAAATTCTATAAAATAAGGTGATTTTTGACGATTTTTCACAGTATCCCTCGATTTTTGGTTAATCTAGAACTTGGATTGAAAAAATTAATATACAAATTTATTCCACTCCCATTTTCTAACGCATATCAGCAGTCGAAATTTTTGAAATTTTGGTCTGCGGGGTTGTTGTCGCTTTCTCAAATTGGCCCCGATTCCTCCCCAAAAGCGAGAGAAATCTCCGCCGATAGCTCGGAATGACCGTCAACAGCGTTGTTGCGTTCGCAATGGGCAGAAGCGTGATGGACATTGTGAGAATTTGAGCCAAAATTGGCGACTTGATTTGAAGAAATGTGCCGGCCAGCCCAATCATATAGGGCAAACCAATGAGAATGAAGGGAAATACGGCCTGAAAAAGGGAGTATTACAGTTGGGGACCCGATCCAGTGGCAAAAAACGTACCATTTTGCATCCAGGAAGTATTAAAAAATGTAGCAAAATGCCTCCCTCTCCAAGTAAAAAAATCCGATTTCAAAATCTCGCCCGCTCTTTTTTGTGAGGTCCCTTCAAACCGGAGTTTTTTGTCTTGGAGAGGGAGGCATTTTGCTACATTTTTTGATACTTCCTGGATGCAAAATGGTACGTTTTTTTGTCACTGGATCAGGTCTGTCACTGTATTAGCATTTTCATAAAGTGCCTGGACTTGTTTTCGCTTTCGCACAGTGCATCTTGAACTTTTGTCGCCAACGCACTGTGGATTTTTGTTTTCGCGCACCGTGCAAACCTCGAAAATCTTTGGTTTTGCACTGTGCATTTGAAATACCGCTGCGACGTAAGCTTTTCTCAACTGCGCCGCGGCGATTTTGATCAAAAATGTGCATAGTGCAATCGGCTTTTTCGAGGTTTGCACGGTGCGCGAAGACAAAAATCCACAGTGCGTTGGCGACAAAAGTTCAAGATGCACTGTGCGAAAGCGAAAACAAGTCCAGGCACTTTGTGAAAATGCTAATAGGAGGGAAAGACGATTGGGGAAAAAGACAATTGAGGAAACAAAAAAGTATTATTTTTCTTCGATGTAAGTGTCGAAATTAGGATAATCGATCTCGCTGAATTCGAAAATGACATTAATTTTTTTGATTGTTACTGTTTTTCTTAAGCAGTACGGTAAAGCAGTGATTTTTTTGATTTTTTTTTCAAAAATACACGATTTAGAGGTTTTCGTTGGTGCTGATTTCCAAACAGAAAAATGAACGAGATTTTAGGAATCAGCACTATCGAAAACCCCCATAAATCCAGTGTTTGTGGAAAAAAATTAAAAAAATTACTGCTTTACAGTACTACATAATGGAAATAGTAACTATCAAAAAAATGAATGTTATTTTCGAAATCATCGCCATCGATTATCCTAATTTCGACATTTACATCGAAGAAAAATAATACTTTTTAGTCCGCCCAATCGTCGCTCGGTAATGATAAAAAGGATGGTAAAATACGATCAATTCTCGAAAATGGTGTTCTTGGTATATTATACTAGACCCACCTGAATCATCATTGCTCGGTTCAGCGTTTTGTTGGCTTGCCGAGTGATCTTGGACATGTGCGAGGCCTCGTTACCAAGAACTTTTACGATACGACAGCAACAGAAGATCACAACACCATAAATCAGGACAATAAATACTTGCGAAGCCATTAGATGGATCACATTGCGGAGGGTTCGCTGAAAATTAAAGGAATTCCAATTTTTTCCACTAAAAACGACATAAAAAATTGCTTGGGAAAAAGATTTGATCGATAAAATTGCAATTCATAAAGTGCATAGAGATTTTTTCCGATTCGCACATTTTGGACCTTTTCCCACGCTTGTCGCCAACGCACAGTGCATTTTTTACTTTTCGCACAGTGCAACGAAGAAAAAAGCCGTTTGCACTGTGCAAATTCTCCAGCGACCCAGTTTCTTGTCGCGGCGCACAGTGCATTTTCTTCTCTGACGCACCGTGCATTTTTCTCTTTTTGCACAGTGCAACCCACGAAAAATCCGATTGCACTGTGCAAATTCTTCAACGACGCAGTTGCTTGTCGCCAACGCACAGTGCATTTTTCTCTTTTCGCACAGTGCAACCACAAAAAAGCCGTTTGCACTGTGCAAATTCTTCAACGACGCAGTTGCTTGTCGCGACGCTTAGTGCATTTTCTTTTCCATTTCATTTTTCGCACTGTGCAAACCACAAAAAAAGCCGTTTGCACTGTGCAAATTCTCCAGCGACCCAGTTTCTTGTCGCCAACGCACAGTGCATTTTTCTCTTTTCGCACAGTGCAAACCACAAAAAAAGCCGTTTGCACTGTGCAAATTCTTCAGCGACCCAGTTTCTTGTCGCCAACGCACAGTGCATTTTTCTCTTTTCGCACAGTGCAACCCACAAAAAATCCGATTGCACTGTGCAAATTCTTCAGCAAACCCGCGGCGACGCAGTTGGAAAAAGCTCATGTCGCGGCGATATTTCCGACGCACGGTGCAAAACCCAAACAAATGATGAAATGCACGGTGCAAAAAAATCGGGATTTTTTGTGGACGGTGCGGACCGCGGCAAAGTGTCCATGCACTTTTGATATGAAAATACTATCAGTCTGTCGGGAAAATAATGAGGACAATGTCGCTGTGCCGATCGCATCGCGGAAATGAAAAGCAATTTATTTTTCCGCGACACAATTCATTTTCTCGGCGATGTGGTTTTCGATGCGACAGAGTGCCCATTATTTTCCCGACAGACTGATGATGACAAAAGTTTTAAAAAATTCCAAAAAAAAAATTATATGTGCTACGTTCCACTTACCGGATCGGCCACGGAAAACGGCAGTTTTCGGCCTCTGACCACCACATCATCTTCCAATTCCTTCGCGTATTCCGGATTCTCATTGCTCGGGATCCACGTGTACAACACCGTAAAGCATAAAACGCCACAAGCGAGTAAACAAAGAGCAAAACTGAAAAATGTCTGTCGCTTCGACGCCAAATGCGACTTGACAACGACTTGATAGCGATGATAGAATTGGAAGCCAATGTTCATTACGGCCGTGTAGACACCCAGCATCCAAAGAGCCGAAAATTTCATGGCTGTGGCGTTCGAGGCGTGCTCGAGGAAAGGGTTGTCGTTGATGAAGAACAGCCCGCCCACTCGCATTTCTGCTATCTGCAAAAGTTGCTGGGTACAGTGGCTATGTACAGTGAGGGACCTGATCCAATGGCAAAAAAACGTCTCCTTTTGCATCCCGGAAGGGACCAAAATGACTCCAAACCCTTCCCTTCTCTAACCTAAAAAACTCCGCTTTGAAAAGCGCGCCCTTTCCTTCAAGGCGGGCTCTTCAAAGCGGGGTTTTTTAGCTTAGAGAAGGGAAGGGTTTGGAGACATTTTAGTCACTTCCGGGATGCAAAATGAGACGTTTTTTGCCATTGGATCCGGTCCCTCACTGTATCAGTCTGTCGGGAAAATAATGAGCACACTGTTGCATCGAGAAAATGAATTGTTGCGGAAAAATCAAATTTCTTTCCATTTCAGCGACACGATTTTCGCCGCGACATTGTGCTCATTATTTTCCCGACAGACTGATATTAGCATTTTCGTAATGTGCCTAGACATTTGTCGCGCCCCCAGCGTGCACAAAAACCCACTTTTTTGCACTGTGCATCGAAATATCGCCGCGACACAAGCTTTTTCCAACTGCATCGCAGCGATTTTGTCGACGAATTTGCACAGTGCAAACGGCTTTTTTGCGGGTTGCACGGTGCGAAAGGAGAAAATGCACTGTGCGAAAGGCGACAAACGTCCATGCACTTTGAAACATCGCGGCGACGTAAACACGTTTCAAACTCCGCCGCTGCGTCGGCGCCGGGAATTTGCACAGTGCAAACGGCTTTTTTGAGGTTGCACTGTGCGAAAAGAAAGAAATGCACTGTGCGCTGCGACAAGCGTGGGAAAAAGTTCAAAATGCACTGTGCAAGAGCTGTGGGAAAAGAAAACCTTATCGAACGGCGACGAGTGAATTTTCCCGCGCAAAATAAAAGTCATCAAAACTGTAGTCGTCCCACGTCTATCGCTGACTGGAAAGTGGCGACTTTTCATGGGGCTACAGAATCTTGGAAGATTTTTTAGGCAAGTAATAAGGTCATCTCTTCAGATGCCATAGTTACTATTACGCTATGTCCGAGGACATGCGCTTGGTTGCCTTTTGTTACACAAACTAATACACTTAACATTTCACTAAAGGTGGAATCGAACCTGAGTTGCCTGGGTTCCTCATCCGAACTCACTCCCCCTGCTCTAAGCAGGGAGGTGTTGGAGCAGTGCTGCGCAAAAGGGAAGTGATAGCGATTGCGTTCTAATATGTTATTTCTGTATTTGCATATACGCAACAGAAGAGGGTCTTGTTATCAGCGCAGGAGGCGCGCGGTCTCTACTAGGCGGGCCAAAAAGTCTTGACATGTTTTCGCACCGTGCGGGCGCATGAATTCGGTGTCGCGACGAGGTGTCGCGCGATAAAACCTTTGGCGGGGTGCGAATGAAGAACGCACTGTGCGTTGTTTACCCTTTTCAAAACATTCTTTTTTGCACTGTGCGGTGTCGCATTGCACCGTAAATTTTTCTTGTCGCCGCGCGACAAATTGCATGCACGACGGCGCACTGTGCAGACATGTCAAGACTTTTTGGCCCGCCTAGTACTGCTGAGATAACATGGTTTGGTCCGAACAACGATCCTGGGTGAACAGTTTACTTTTAAAAAAATAATATGGCGCATAACATATTTTTTCAAATTATTTTTTTTGCCTTGGAAAAAATAATATGACAAGGGGGGTCCAAGGCAAATTTTTTCGATTTTTTTTCTTTGTAGAAAGAATGATATGGCAAGGAGGGACCAAAGGGCAATAAAAAAATCGAGCCTCATTTGAGCACAACGCCTTGAGCTTAGTTTTTGCCTTATTAGCTCGCGGATAGCCAAAAAAGCATATTGCCAAAACATTGTCAAAATCGCGGGAAACTGTTTTCGGACGAATCTTCGTAGTTTCAAGATCCAAATAGTGTTTTTTGCCCCCCCCCTTGCCATATAATTTTTTTCACCAAACAAAAAATGCGCTCAAAAAATTGCTTTGGTCCCCAAAAAATCATAAAAAATTGCCTTGTTCCTCCCTTGCCATACCGTTTTTACAATTGAAAAAAAAAATTTGCATTGGTCTGCCTTACCACATCCATTTTGCGCAAATCAGAAAAAATAATTTAGACAAAACTGCCTTGGTCCCCCCTCACCATAATCCTTTTTTCTCACTGAACAAAAAAATATGTAAAAAAATTTGACTTGTTCCCCTAACCAGAGATTGCCACCGTCAAAGTTTCGGCTCCGGCTCTTACAAGGGAAGTCACTTTTTTCGCAGACGGACTTTGGAACGGCACCTAGTAGGTTTCAAACGTAAAGGGTCTGCGATCATAAAACTAATTTCCGAAAGTGTTTACGGGGCTTCTCGGCCGAGAAAATCGACCGCAAAGTTTAGCCGAAATGAGCGAATAGCCTCCTCAAAAGAAACAGCTTATTTGATCTGCAGTGGTGGCCGAGTGGTCAGCGCGCTCGCTTTTTGCGCCAGAAGAGGCGGGTTCGATCCTCTGCGCAGTTTATTTTCTTTTTTGGTTCGTAAATATTGATTTAGTATGTAAAAATAAAATGTATACACTTTTGTAATTTTTTACAGTAATTTAAATATAAATTCAAAGCTGAATGTTCACGAATATTGTAAAGTCAAAACAGGGCTGGGTTAATGAAGATATAGCTTCTAAATTTGTGTTTTATTAAAAATTGCTAATAATTAGCATATGTGATGTTAACGGCATCTCTCTATTTGATTCAATGGCCAAAAGAAATGCATCCGCAGACGACCGAAGTCGAACTCACGTCTTCTGGCGCAAAAAGCGAGCGCGCTGACCACTCGGCCACCACTGCAGATGAAATAAGCTGTTTCTTTTGAGGAGGCTATTCGCTCATTTCGGCTAAACTTTGCGGTCGATTTTCTCGGCCGAGGAGCCCCGTAAACACCTTTGGAAATCTGTTGTATGATCGCAGACGCTTCAGGTTTGAAACCTACTAGGTCCCGTTCCAAAGTCCGTCTGCGAAAAAAGTGACTTCCCTTGTTAGCTCCCAGAGCCGGAGCCGAGGCCAAATTTGCAGCTCCGGCTCTTGGCTCCGTGCAAAATTTAAAAAGGCCTCCGGCTCCGAATCCCGGCTCCTATGCAAAATGTTTTTTTTTGTAATAAATATTTTTCCAAAAATAAAAGTTATTAGTGCCAGAGATGATACAGCCAACGTTTTTGCAGTCAAGTCACATCCTCCGCAGTGTTTTTTCAAGCAATTTGGTTTAACAAGATCACGAAATTTTTACTTTTCTGACCGCTGTAAAGCCTGGCTCCGACTTTGGGCTCGGGAGCCGGAGCCGACCCCAAAATTTCCGGCTCCGGCTCTGGCTTCCGGCTCGGGAGCCGGAGCCGCTCAGAGCCGGAGCCAAGAGCCGGCTCCGGAGCCGTGGCATCCCTAACCATACCCATTTTATCAAAATGAGCAAGAAGTCCGCCCATTGGCACTTTCCGGACCCTTCTTTTTTGTCCACCAACACAACCCGGTGGAGAAAAAGAAACGCTAGCAATCTTACCTCCATTGTAATCAGATTCACCAGCGTGAATGCGAGATCAGTTAGAGTTGTACAAACGACCAGAGTTGAATACGAATTCATCGCTGTTTTGGCTTGCTTATGATTCCTGGTGGCGACAAGAAGGACGATTCCGTTCAACGAAAACGAAACAACGGATATGACGGCCTCGAAAAGGATGTGGTAGTGGTGCCATCTGCGGTCAGCGAGGGGTGTGGTTTTCATCTCTGGAACTCGCACAAATACAGGTAGTAAATTTAAAGTAATCACGGTGGTATAAGAGTAATAAATACCTGTATTTTTATACCAGTCTGTAGGGAAAATAATGAGGACTCTGTCGCATTGAAAATTGCATCGAGAAAATGAATTGTGTCGCGGCAAAATCAAATTTCTTTTCACTTCAGCGACCAGGGGCGGTCAGTGGGCCGGGCTCAAAAATGGAAATTTGACAAACGGGCCGGGCCCGTTACGGGCCTGGGTTTTTTCTTTCTCGAGTTCTAAAACGTTTACAAGTCTATAGTTCCATTATAAACCCACGAAACTATCACATTGATCCTTTACTAGCTAGATCAACGCCTTTTTTGCCTTACAGGGGAAGTACCCCAAGTGCGACGCTCAGATTTTCTTTAAATTTTGCACACACGTTGGGAATAGACTAAATATGAATTCCTGAAAGTTTTAGCTCGCGCTTTGCAGGCGCCGCCGAGATATCGAACGATTTATGCCGCCGAGAGAGCACGCTAAACGCGGAGAGCGGTGAGAGACAAAAACGCCTTTTGGCCACAACTTTGGCAGTTTCGTGCGGAAAAATTTGATCTTTTGTAGAAACATTATCCTTTACGGTAGAAATAGGCATGAAACTTTTCGTGCCGAAATTCGGCAAAAAGTCCTAAATTTTCGCCGACCTTCGATCTAAAAATCTCGGTTGTTTCTGCAAAGCGCGAGCTAGGACTCTCGCATTTATCTTAGAAAAAATTATTCTAAATTTGTGCCAACTTTCAGGGTCCGCTGACCACCCCGGTCAGCGACACGATCAGCGCAGCGACATTGTGCTCATTATTTTCCCGACAGACTGATTGCTTGTAAAAATAAGCAAAATGCTCTGTAAAAAAAGTCCACGCACTTTATGGACAGACTAGTATCTCTGTTAAACCCCCAACGTCGGACTGCATCACGCAGGAAGTTGGTTGGAAAAACAACCGTGACGTCCACGATTAGCACACTATGCTACATATATATGTGCTCAAATAGGCAAGAGTTCAGCTCAATTTACGTTACTTCCAGGACAATTGGATGCAATAAACGCCGACATCATTACATTTTAGTAAGCATGATGAAACCGCGAATGTTTGTAGGGTGAATAGATGGCGGTATTATGAGTCCCATGGGACCTATCTTTTTTGACACTCTTCCGTTATCGTCGGAAGGTAAAAGCGACACAAAACATAGTTTTTTTTCAGAACAGATCATAAAGAAAAGCCTGGGCAGAGATCTGTGGCATGTGCAAAACGGAGCAGACCTGTTGTCCGCAACGAACGAAGTTGCGGACAACCGGATGAAATGAGGCGATGCTACGGATCCTTATGGAAACCAGCTACTTTTTAGCCATGAAAAACTAACATCAACTTGTAGCGAATTTAGTTACCCAAACCCGGGATAATGTGTTAAAAATACAGGGTGTACCAATTTTGTGGCCCGATTTTAAATGGCTATAACTTCTTTAATTTTGGCCCAAACGTTAAAATTCTTTCTTTCCTTGAATCCTCAGACATCCCCATTTTGTTTAATACCAAATATGTGGCAGGAGTACAATTTTGTGTAGACTAGTTTTGGAATTAAAAACCCCAAAGCAAATTGATTCCTAAGCGTTTTAGCCAAGAAGTTATAGCCAATTCAAATCGGGCCACAAAACTGGTACACGCTGTATAAGCGTTGGATGACCTCCGAAACTTCCAACAGAATTCCTTTCTTTCTGCTGCCCGCAAATGTCGGCTGTCCACAAATATACCAAGCTACCGTGTCCCGGCTTTTCGGGTCGATGACAGTTCGGGTCAACACAAAATCGATCGATATGAGTGGATACCCAAAAAAGACTATAGGAAGTGCCTATGAGGCCTGGCAAAGCCGTTGGATGATCGGTGGGCGCTCGGCGAAGGCTCGGCGGAGACTTGCAATATGTCCATTTTTTCTAATTTTAGCTATCACTAGGGTTAGTTTTCTTTTTACCCTGAGTTATTGTAACATATAAAAGAACAAAATTTACGGTAAGAAACGAACATCCGTAGTATTTATCTACAGGGTGCGCCAATAAAATCTGGACTAATATTTTTGCTTGCCCTGCGGGCTGTTACAGTACGAGAACAAAGTGGGCGATTGTGGACACGTGTAATACGTCCAAGAAGCTATCTTTAAAGTTTCAGACAAAATAATCGTCTGCGACACTTGTTTTGTCATTATAAGTGCTTACAACTAAGGCGCCTGAAACACGGACCCCAAATTGGTTAAAAAATGGTTGCACTATCTTTACCGTTTTATGCTATGGGCTGAAATTTACTTTTTTTGATAGAACTCCGGTCGGTTTTTATATACTGAAATTGATTTTGCCTCATTATGACAATTAGGCTTTTTACAGCTCACCAAAGTTGGCTCAAAAACGGGCCCTCTTCCCCGAAAACTTCCGTTAAATCAAAGATTTTTATGTAGAAGTTTCCCTGTGTGATTCCAAACATGTTAAGCACCAGAACTACTTTTGCAAGGATAACCAGAGTCTGCCCAGTCGCCTTTCAAAGAGGATTTTTCTATCGACTGCCTCTGGGGATGAAATAGTGACTGCAGTGGCATAATTTACTATATGCTCGCTGTTTGAGTGATCTTGGACTAGATATTTCTAAAAGTGATTTGGCTACATTAGCATGTATCCAGTATACAACGCTATGTTGATTTTTACGCTTAACGCCTGTCCAACTTGTTACAAACTGCCAAAACGTTTCAAGTCCCGAATGACCGTGCCTTGAATTCCCCCCATGAACTTTTATTTATGCAGAAACGGTCCCCTTGTATGTGCGGATTTGCTTTTACACTATAACAATTGTCTATGTATACGCTCTGTAATCACGGAATTTTGGAGCAACATGGGCTATAATCTGGCGTTGAGATCCTTAAAAACATAAAAATCCAAATTTTTGGGCCTTTTTTGTTTCCGCCACCAGCGCCGCCAGATCGGCCGCCAACCATGATTCCGTTGGCTGTTACAAAGTCAACAGCACGTACTTTATATACAATAAATTTGAAGAACGTCAGTCCCCCTTAGCAGAAATAATGGAAGAATTAATAGCCCAGTCATCACCTGGAAAAAAAAATTCTGCACCTCCAAAAGCTTTTGATTATTTTTTCGCTCTTGCAATCGGCACCGACTTGGGCATTACCGTTGCTGTACAGCACGGTTGTTACCCTTTCTAAAAGTGCTAAAAGTTTCCATTCTTAGGCCGTCCGAAAAAGGCTACATGGAATTTAGTTTAGTCCAGATTTTATTGGCGCACCCTGTAATAGATATTATTGATGTGAGTACATGTAAAATTGCCTCAAAATAGGTGATAAACTATTGTAGGACCCGGTTAACCTTATTATTTCTACTAACCAAGCCTTCTCCTAGCCGTCGAGGCAATCTACCGTATCATTGACCCGAATTATCGCTGATCCGAAAAGTCGTAGCGCCGATGCAAATGCACAGTGCAAAATTTTGGAAACGCACGCACCGTGCGAAAAACGACGCAATTCGCTCGACAGAGTCTACACACTTTTGAAAAACTATATATATATGCTACAACATACATCTTGTCAGTACGTTTGAAGTGCAAATACATGGCAAAAAACAAACATTGTTTTGAAACCTAGACGTTCTTGGGAAGAACTTAGTGCATGTCGCCGAAATCACTTCTAAAAATAAAAAAGAGATAATAAGTTGGAAAAAATCGCTTGATTTCAATTCTTGTAGGCTTCTCGCCTCTTTGTCGGTCATTTTTTTACCCATTCCCATCCGTTTGAAATAAAACTCGGTCGATGATTTTCTCAGCGGAAAAGTGATATTACACTTGTTACAGGGCCATCAAAAGCAACGGAAATGACGGTAAGTTACGTTAAATTCTTTTTTTAACTATTTGAAATTGGTTTCTACTTTGCTAGCTACAAAATTCCGCCGAGAGAAAGACTTGACTCATTTTGGGTCAAGTGTTTCTCTCGGTGTTTTACACCAGAATTGCAGGTAAAATACGTCGTAATATTAACAGTTTCCCATTTTGGTCGTATTTTAGATGTTGAAATCGCGGAAATCAGTGAAAGAATCAGCAAAATCGAGCAAAAATAATGGGAGCACCCAGCTCAGCGAAAAAACCCCTCCCGAATCCGAACCCATGCTACGAACGGCCCAATCCAAGTCTCACATCTCTCGACTCTCCTCGATTCAACGCTCAATCAGCGGGCGACAGACCTGGACGAATGGAATTCAATTCATTTTAACTTGTACATCGTATGCGGTGGGGCTCGGAAATATCTGGCGATTCCCGGCGGTGGTCTACAAAAATGGCGGTGGCGCGTTCTTGATCCCCTACTTTTGCTGCTCCATGATTATCGGTTTCCCGGTTTTGTACTTGGAATTGTGCCTGGGGCAATTTGCCAGAGCCGGACCGGCCGTGGTGTATGGACGAATGAAGCCGGCGTTTCAAGGTGAGAACGTTGTTGAAAGTGGTCATAAAAACCTTCATTGTGTATTAAAAATTGCAATGACCGTTTAATTAGAGAGTTTCCAAGTCTTTGAAGTCAAGAGGAAAACTTGACTCATTGGTCAAGTCTTCTCCTTGATCGAATTATAGGATATCGAGGCTCGGCTGGGGTTGAAAATATGCTAGGAAGGTTTTTGAAGTCATGAAATTGATAAGAAATACAAAAATGATGATTCTAGGAGGCTTTGAAGATGAGGGAAACACTTGACTCAAATTATGTTTTTTTCTCGCTGGAAACCAAATTTTGTAATTAAAAATTCAGTTATATACTCTTTATACTCCAATTTATACGTTTACTCAAAAATCTATCATTTTTTCTAAATTGAATCCGAGAGAAGCACTTGGCTCGAGTCAAGTGTTCCCTTCGCCGGGGGTTGTTATATTTCTCTCAAAAAATTTTCTCAGCGACATTTTTGTTACTAAAATACCGAGTTACTGAAGTATCAAGTCTTTTCCGGCGGGTATTATTGCAAGAAAAGACTTGACTCAAGGTCAAGTCCTCTTTTATCCCAATATGGCTTGCAAATTGGTTTCTTCGTATTTTAAATAATTAGTAATGCAATTTCAGGTATTGGCTGGGTAATGGTGACAATGTCAGCGGTGGTGACAATTTTCTACAACATGGTCGTGGCCTGGTCGATATTATACATCTATGTTATTGTGTCCGGTCAGTCCTATGACTTGTGGAGCTCTTGCCGCCACTCTTATAACACTATTTGTGAGTCCTTTTTTAACAAACTAATTTTTTTTTTTTTTTTTTTTTGACTTTACCTTATTTTGGATTGCAAATCCCCGTTTGACGACCAAAAATGCGCCGAATATTTGGCGGACCAGACGGCTTTTGCGTTTAACGACACTTGTCATCATGGGAATGATACGATAGCCGAATATCGAACCGAATTGTACAAAAACTGGAGTGCGATGAGCCCGGCCGAAGAGTTTTATGAGTAAGATTGGAAGTTTTATTCAATAAAGTACATATTTCAGAAACTACATCCTCGAAAAATCCCCGGAACTTGGAGCTTTTGGGATGAACTGGAAGCTGCTTGGATCGTACAGTGTGGCCTGGCTGTTGACGGCCGCCGCTTTGTCCAAAGGCACTAAAATCATTGGCTACCTGTCGTATGCGACGGCCACATTGCCCTACTTGATTATGCTGATTTTGTTTGGAAGAGCGGTGTTTTTGGATGGCGCGTACGAAGGGATGAAGTATTACATTTTGGAGCCGGATTTGAGCGTGGTCTATAATCCAAATGTAAGTTTAAAGTCGGGAATATTTTTCTGGATATTCAATTTAAATATTGAAATGAGTTTTGGAAGAAATTTGCGATTGTAAATGAATTTGTAGTTCGAGGGAAACACTTGACCCATTTTTGTGATTCATGGCTAATTTGTATATTTTTTGGCTAATTTTTGAGCAAAAAATTCTGAAGTAATTACAAATTTTTACTCTTTAGTATTTGAAAAGTGTAGTTTGTTCTGAAAGAAACACTTGACTCATTTTTACAGTATTACAGTATCACTAAGAATGCGGCTCAAAGATGTTTAGATTTGATTTTTGGACATTTTTTTGAGGGTTGTCATCTGAAAAAGAAAAAATATTTAAGAGATTTCCTTTCTGGGTCATGTCTTTCCCTCACTCATCACTGAGGGAAAGACTTGACGCAAGGTTTCAACCTTAAGTAAAACACCTTTTTCTTTTGCTCAGAGACTTACTTTTTGAAGTTCAAAAAGCATTTTGGGTTTTGAGTCAAGTTTCTCCCTCAATAAAAATTTTTGAGTCATGTGTTCCCCTCGATAAAATAAGGTTGTGCAATAATTCTTTCCTGATTCTTCGATTCTAGCAGCTCCTAAATTTTCCATTTTCAGGCCTGGCGAGAAGCCGCGACCCAAGTTTGCTTTAGTCTTTCCGTTGGATTCGGTGGAATTCTCTCATTTTCCTCATTCAACCCGTCAACTCAGAATGTTTTCCGTGACGCGTTAATTGTGACGATCGCGGATGCAACGATGAGTATAGTCGGAGGCACAGCGGTTTTCAGCGTATTGGGATTTATGAGCAAAGAGATGAATGTCAGCATCGGGGAAGTGGTGCAGGTAAGGTGGACTAGTGGGGATTTAAGAGATGGGTCAAGTGTTCCTTATGTAATTCTTGGTCCAAAATTGTATTTTCTTACCGACGATGCCATAATTCGTAGCTGTATTTCCGGTTTCGAAAGACGCGGAACAAAAGGGGAAGGCTTGACTCAAAATGTGTCAAGTGTTTCTTTCGCCATTCCTTTTTGTAAAAATGTAATTTGAAGGCAAAAAATACCGTAAAAACGATATTCTGTACTTTACCAAATTTTCTGCGTTCTTTCCCGGCGAAAGGAACACTTGACCCGCATCGAGTCAAGTCTTTCTCTTTGCGCAATACTCCCCCATAAGCTCGCAGATAGGGCGTAAAATTTAATTCAGACCCTCTACCGTCTTCTTTAATAATTTTTGAATTTTGCAGAATGCCAAGTTTTCGTTGTGGGACCCAGATTAATTAAGATTTTCTTTATTTCAGGATGGAACAGCCCTTGCTTTTGTTGCCTACCCAGAAGCTTTGATTCGAATGCCAGTGGAGCCGCTATGGTCCATTCTGTTCTTCCTCATGGTATTTTTACTCGGCATCAGCTCCCAGTTTGGCTATGCAGAAGCCGCCATCACCGCGTTTGTCGACCAATTCCCGCGACTGAAGAAAGCCCACACACGAACGGTTTTTGGCGTTTGCACTGTGCTGTTCCTTTGTGGAGTAATTTTGTGTACTAATGTAAGTGTATAAGACAAAATTTTCAGTATAACTTGAATTCCAAAAAAATTTTGGGTCCTGCCACGAAAGGTTGTGACAGCGCGAAAATTTATTACAAATGTTAATTTAGAGCTCAATGGACCTCAGGACTCATGTATTTCAATGTTTTAAGTTTGCGATCTAAAATTGGGTCCCACCACGAAAACTTGGCATTGCGTTTTTATAGGTTTAATTGACCGAAAATGCCTTTTTGATATCAAATATTGTTATGCAGAACCAAAATCAGTACCAAAAATCCTGTTTTTAATCTCTGAATAATCAAATTTTGGGTCCCGCCACGAAAGTTTGGCATTCTGTTTTTTGCCTCTAAAAACGCGGAAAATCACTCAAATTGTAAGATTTATAGTATCTACATTGCCTTTGGCTTTTTTGACCATTGAATAATCAAAGTTTGGGTCCCACCACGAAAACTTGGCATTGCGTTTTTATAGGTTTAATTGACCGAAAATGCCTTTTTGATATCAAATATTGTTATGCAGAACCAAAATCAGTACCAAAAATCCTGTTTTTAATCTCTGAATAATCAAATTTTGGGTCCCGCCACGAAAGTTTGGCATTCTGTTTTTTGTCTCTAAAGACGCGGAAAATCGGTCGAGTAGTAAAGTTTAGAGTATACACGGTGTCCTCTAAATGATTTTTCTATCTTACATTGTATTTTAGAGTGGATTTTACTTCTTCAACATCCTCAACGACTATTCCTCCGGATTTTCCTTGGGAATCGTCCTCTTTCTGGAGGCTGTGCTAGTCAGCTACATTTATGGTAGGTTAGAAAAAAGTCCCAGCGTATTTTAAAAGAAATTCTCAGTTTTTAGGAAAGCTTTTAAAGAATTTATATTATACTTAATAAATCAATAGCGATTTGTCATCTTTTCATTCAAAATTTTGATGATCTTCCCACTCATAATAACGTATTTTAAATTTCAGGCATAGAGGACTTTATTGCCGACTTGCGTTCAATGTTTGGACCGCCGAAAAATCGATGGGGATCGATTTTCGGCCGGACCGGGCTGTATGTCAAGACGATCTGGAGGTTCCTGGCGCCGGTTATGTGGATAGTAAGCCTTTTTCATTCTTGAAAACACTTTTTGGGATACTTTTTTAAAACATTTCCAAGCCATAGGTTAAACTTATTAAACTAGGAAAAACTGGATTTTTGAGCAATATTTCTTTATAAATTTGGGCCAATTTTTTACAATCCGTATTTTACAATCTCTTAAGCTTCATATTTCTAAAATCCGCGAAATTTGAGCCGTTTTTCCGATTGAGAGGAAGACTTGACTCGGTTTGGGTCAAGTCTGTAAATTTAAGCCCTGAGAGGAGTCGGCATAACAGAAATGAAAGGTGGTAGCGTATTTGACAAAAGTTTGAACCTTTTTTTCCCCAAAATTTATATTTGTCTCGCCAAAAACCTTTTTTTTGGGTCAAGTCTTCCTCAAAATCAAATCCAATTTTTGGCCCAAAAATAAATAATAAAAAATTATTTCAGATACTCACTGCCTTCACACTGTACACACAGACAACGAATGGCGGAATTTCGATAGGAAAAGGCACCAGGAAGTACGTTTTGCCCGACTGGTGCACGGCTCTGGGATGGTGTATATCCGTAATCCCGTTGTTTTGCCTGCCCGGATTTGCACTGATCAACTTTTTGGTGTTCAGAAAGCAGGGGAAAGTAAGCCAGTCCGGTTTGAAATTTTAGTTTCTGTTGAAACGCAAATTTTTACTTTGAGGGTAAGACTTGACCCAAAGACAGATCACAGCGATTGTAGGCTTGTAAAAATGTACAATAGGCTTGTAAATAGGCTGCTGACAAGATTTTTACTATGATGTGTCAAGTGTTCCTTCAAAATTGAGTTTTTGGGTCAAGTGTTTTTCTCAACAGAAAAATGGTTTTTGAAACGGTATTTTTCGTATTTTAGCCGCTTTACGAGCTTCTCCGAGTCCAACGTAAATGGCCTTCGTATAACCGACACAAACGCCGTTGGGTCAAATCGAAAAGTGAGGAAAAATCGACCGAGAAATCGTCTGAGCCAGGAAAATCGAACGAAAACTCGACTGTTTCGGCTGCCGAAAATTCCGATCCAAACACCCTCAAAGAGCATCATGACCCATTTGAGGAAAAGAGTTGACCCAGGATGGCTTACAATGACGTAAATTACTGGATTCTTTTGAATTTTTTGGTCGGTTCGATACTGAAATAAATTGCTGCGCAATCAGAGGACTGGGATTTTTTGATAAAATCTTAGTTCAAAATATTTTTTGTTGCTTTAGACACCAAAATAAAAAATTCCAAAAAATGTGTCATGATGACATATTTTTTTGAAATTTGAAAAACGTCGTATCTAAGCCCTGTAAAACCTCTAATTTTTCTGTTTTTACCAGGAGAACTCGTATTTTACTAACAGAGAAAGACTTGACTCAAAATTTGATTTGGGGTCAAGTCTTCCTCTGGTTGCAAAAGTTGCCTGAACTAAAAACCGTGATGAAAGAAAATATTTCCACATAGAAGAGGAGCTCCAAAACAGTATTTCAAGAATCTCCCCTTAGGGCATTTGTCCGACCTTTGCTCCAAAACAACCAAAAAATTCCGCTTCCTCACGTTCGTACCGGGTACGGCCGGACGCGTGGAACAAACCACTTTTGTATCCACGGCATAACGTATTCAACAACACGTCCAGCGTGCACTCGTGCCAACTCTGGCGCATCGCCCAGCAACTGTCGGGGACATCCCGAGGTCAACAAGTTTCGACACTTTTCGCGGGTCGAAAAAGAGCAAAAAATAAAGCTGGTAGGACTTGTGACAAACAAACACTAAAATAGATGACATTTGGAATATTTTTCGTTACAATTTGAGTGATTTGGAATAAGATTTTTGGGGAGTTTTATATTGTACTTGACATTAGATGGGGAAGATTGAAATAAAACTTATTTTTGATAGCATTTGGCTAGTTTTTTGGTTTCAATTTTCTTTATAGGCCTCAATTTGTCTTTGCAGAGACAATGACGATCAGTTGACATCTAAATTTTTACATTTTTAAGCTAATTTTATATTACACTTGATGTCAAAAATAGAAACTGATGAAAGAAAATATGCGTGCCGTATTTTAAATTTGTTTTTTGACTTGATTCTTTAACACATTATATGGTTTACACAACATAAGCTCATTTGTAACTCTTGAATTTCAAAGTTTTTTGCTTTTATATTATCCATGGTTTTTGATGTCAATTTTGGTTGAAATCCTCCTAAATTTTGTTTTTACTAGCTTAAGATTGATCCTAGAAGTGCTGTCTCTAATTTCAATCACAACTTTCCCTCTGAAATCATCATTTTCCGCCGAGAGGAACACTTGACCCAACTGGGTCAACTCTTTCCCTCACCTCCAAATCGTACTAAACGGATGTCTACATGTTGTAAAAGTGTCCAGACAATTTTGCGAAACAATTTTCTCGTCCAAATTGTTGTGTTTTGCACCCATTTCGCGCCAATTTTGTCGTCATAGCTATACCCTTTCTCCATGATCCAAAGAAAGAAACGGGCGGCCCAAAAAAGGCGGGCGGAAAGAATACCTGTCCCGTTTTTCCACATGTACGAGCGGAATGGTCGGCGGTTTCGGGCCGAAATAAACATTTCCTTCCAGGCATCCGGAAATCAGGCGCCTTTTATGGTCGTCAAGGACACGCCCTGAGGGCGCGACGCAAAAAACAGCCTGACCTCTTAGTGCGCCATGGTGGGGATGTGTTCGACCGCGTACCTGAAGCCGCTCTACCTGGTGGCGTTGATTATTGCGCTCGTTTTCACCACCGCCGCACTTTTCTCGCCCGCCTGGCGACGAATCGACGACAACAACAGTGTGGGGCTGATCACGTCCGACTGCTACTTTCAGGCGTGCTGGTGGTACACTGACGTGAGTTTTGGAACAAACCAGCGATTTCCAAAGTTGTGGGAAAAATGAGACTTTTTGATTTTTCGATATTGTAGTAGACCTTTCATAACTCAAAAACTTGCTCCAAAATACGGTAATAATTGGAAACAGAGGTCGAAGAGGGCCATACACAACATTTTTATTTCATTTCCAGAACTTAAAAATATTGTTTCCTCTATGTTTTGCACGGTGCAATGATGTAGTTCATTTTAGCTTACGTTTTTGCACCGTGCAATTTTTGCTCAAAATGAAGTAAAAAAATTTTTTTTAATGCCAAATTTTTTTCATTGTGTTGGAAGATATTTACAGGCTATGAAAAAATCGCCTACGTATCTTTTTTTACCGAAAAATCTTCGAAAAATGCGAAATTTTTTTGCACAGTGCAAAACCGAAAGCCAATTTACCCTATTTCCCCGCACTGTGCAATCAAATTTTTTCAACAACTTAGAATATCTATCTTTCGCCTTTTCAGAACCGAGCCTCCTTCGATCACACATGTCTGGGACTGATGATAGTCGCATTCGTCCTCGAGATCTTCCTGATCTTGGCGTCGTTGGGGATGTGGACTCGATTCTTCGTGCCTGGGGCTTACGTGTGTTTGACGGCGGTTAGCTTCGCCGCGATGGTCGCTATTGTCGTCACTTTGGCGATTTATGGAGCCAAAAGCGAGAACACCTTCCGAGGGATCAGTAAGTTTCGTCAAACAAGAGGAAATTTGAAGGAAACTTGAAGGGGCGGAGCTTAGGGTGATTTGGGAACTTCGCACGGTGCAATGGTGAAAATGAAATTTTTTTGCGACCAAAAATAAATTTAGGACCCAAAAAACTTTTACACTGACAAGATGCACTATTTGGCACGATTTTATTGAGGTTTATTAAGAAAAACTTAAAATTATGGGGAGCAAAACTTGAATTTTGCTTTTCTAACATATTTTGAAGCTCTATATCTCAATCTACAATGTAAAGTTAAACTTAAAAATTTTTCAGAGGTCATAGCAGACTCTAATCTTCATTTCTACCAAGTTTCATTCAATTCCGAAATTTTGCCCTGAGGCAATTTTTTCGAAAATTGAGAGTTTTGAACTCTCAATGGCTTTCAAACTTCACACACGCAATTTCAAACACAACAGAACATTTTTAGCGCCACTTTAACACATCCTTTCAGTCCCAATAACAGTAGCGCCACCATCGGTCACCGGTTTCCAGTCGACGCATAACAACCAATTCGGCTACAGCTACTGGCTCGCACTAATTGGAGCGATTTTTATGGCCATTGCGACGACAATCGCCGCCACCGCCACGGTTTTCAGTCTTTCGGTGAATGCCCATTCATAATTTTATCTTTGATGTCTACTGCAATATAATGTAAATAATATCGAAAATCTTGCGTGTTGCTATGTCAAAAATATTTTAATTGGTATTTTATTTCATTTACGACATTTGTATGTATTTTCCAGTGGTTTGAATGCGGTTTTTAAAGATCTCAGGTTTTCGTGGCGGGACCCAAATTGATGATCAAAACACTGCTCAAAAACTAAAAAGCGAGTTCACAATTGTAAATGAGCTGTTTCTCAACAATAAATTTAATTTTCCTCCCCACAATTTCTAAAATACACCGCTAAAATACGATTTTTTTGAAATTTTTGGTCTCGCCACGAAAACTTGGAAACGCAAAAATTCAATATTCTAAACTCAAAAATGATGCCTTCAAGTCTCCAAAAACGTCTAACTACTTCTATTTTGTCCGTAAAAACGTCCAGTAATCGATATAAAACATCTAACTTTATATCACAATCCTGTCGCTATGCCAATTCCAAATTGTAAACATCTTATTTTACTCCCCATATGTCTAAAATTAGCCGTTTGTCACACCAATTTCGCAATATTTCGTATTTTTTTCAATAAAAAAGTCGAGAAAATTGCCCATTTGTTTTGTTTGCCCTCCGGCTTCGGGCGCCAATTTTGGTCCAATTTCGTTCGGAGAAAGTTCAACCAAATTTCGCCTCGTTTCTCCTAGCCTACTGGGAAAACGTCATTTCCGGAAGATTGGGCCTAATTTTTTGGAGGAGGGAGGAGTAGGTGGTCAAGTGGAACATCGGCAATATCTCGGGAGTGTTTTGAGCTGAGCTTGTGGAGTAAAATGAAAAATACGGCTAAATTATTTATATTTTTTACTCTACGAGGTATCATAGCTCGTGAAGTTCAGAACTTTTGATTTATTCAAGTTTTCCTACAATTGATGACCAAGTGTAATATGGCTTGTATCTCGGGTAATTTTTTGAGCTGAGCTTGTCGAATATACGGCAAAATACGGCAAATTATCTATATTTTTACTTTACCAGGTATTGTAGACCTTGAAGTTTAGGTCTCTTGATTTATTAAAACTTCCTTACAATTGAAGACCAAGTATAATATGGCTCATATCTTGAGTAATTTTTTGAGTTGAGATTGGCGAGTAAAAAAGTATAATACGACAAATTATCAATATTTTCTTTTTTACTATGTACTGTAGACGATGAACGTCAGAACTTTTAATTTATTCAAGCTTTCTTACAATTGATGACCAAGTATAATATGGTTCGTATCTCGGGTAGTCTTTTGAGTTGAGCTTGCCCAGTAGAAGGTAAAATACGGAAAATGATTTCTACTTTTATTTTACCAGGTATTGTAGATCTTGAAGTTCAGGGGGATGTTTCACGTACAAAAAGGGCACTAACTAGAGTTAGCTGCATCACAGAAAAAGCGGAGAGAGCAGAGAAAAAGAGGAGTGGTAACTCGAGTGACCTGACTTTTTATCGACTTCGGCCGCACATTTTGGGCCATAACTTTTGATACAGTGGACCAATTTGCGCCCTTCCAAAAAAATATTAATGCTGGTGGTACACAGAATACATGGATATAAATTTGTAAATTTTTCTTCTAAATTATGCAAATTATATGCAAATTTTTTTCTTGGTATCTTAAAGCTCGTCTTTTATTAAAATCTTTATATGAACATGTTTGTTACGCTCTCAGCATCAAAGGGTTTTTTGGAGGGTGTAAATTGGTATACTGTATCAGGAGTAATGGCCCGCGCAACAGTGGGCGAGAATTTTTTGGTCATAACTTTTGTCACAGTAAACCAATTTGCAAAATTTTAAGAAAGTTTTAAAGCTGGCACCACGCTGCGTATGATTGTATCAAAATTTTTTCCGTATCTTGCTTCTTAAATACCAAGAGAAAAATTTGCATATGATTTGCATAATTTAAAAGGAGAATTTACAAATTTATACGTGTATATTCTGTGTACCGCCAGCATTAATATTTTTTTTGGAAGGGCGTAAATCGGTCCACTGTATCAAAAGTTATGGCCTAAAATGTCCGGCCAAGTCCATAAAAAGTCGCCCGATTCGCCAATCAAAAAGAAGAGGGATCACTCAAGTTACCACTCCTCTTTTTCTCTGCTCTCTCCTCTTTTTTCGTGATGCCGCTAACTCAAGTTAGTGCCCTTCTGTACGTGAAACATCCCCCAGAGCTCTTAATTTATTAAAACTTTCTTACAATTGATGGCCAAGTTTAATATGGGTCGTATATTCGGTAATTTTTTGAGTTGAACTTGTGGAATAGCAGGTAAAATACGACAAATTATCTCTATTTTATATTTTATCACGTATTGTAGACCTTGAACTTTAGAGCTTTTAATTTATTAAAGTTTTCTTCCTATTCATGACCAAGTATTATATCGTTCGTATCTCGAGTAATTTTTTGAGCTGAGCTTGCCCAGTAGAAGGTAAAATACGGAAAATGATTTCTACTTTTAACTTACCAGGTATGATAAACCATGAAGTTTAGAGCTCTTGATTTATTCAAGTTTTCTTACAATTGATACCCAAGTATAATATGGCTCATATCTTGGTTAATTTTTCGAGTTGAGCTTGTCAACTAGGCGGTAAAATACGGCAAATTATCTGTATTTTTACTTTCTCCGGTAACCAAGATGTTGAAATTCAGAGCTTTTGGTTTATTCAACTTTTCTTACAATTGATGACCAAGTATAATATGGCTTGTATCTCGAGTAATTTTTTGAGTTGAGCTTTGGAATATGAGGTGAAATACGGCAAATTATCTATATTTTTACTCTACCGGGTATTGTAAACCTTGAAGTTCAGAGCTTTTGGTTTATTCAAGTCTTCTCACAATTGATGACCAAGTATATATTGTCAAAATCTTAACCTCAGATTCAAGTTTCCAATCGAACATGAGTTCAAAATACGGGACAACCGTTCAATTTTGCCTTGTAATACCACTGCTGTTTTAAAATTCTGAATCTTTTGAGTTGTTTTAGTTTTGTCTCAGACCAGGTGCTCAAGTCTAATATTGTTGATATTTAGGCCGCATTAAAAATTTCCGTACGTGAAATACCGCTAATTTACACGTGAGGGCGGTCTTTTTGACATAGCAATATCTGTTTACGCAATATTTTCATGACCGAAGTTGTTTCGCAAGTTTTTCGGAAGTAGGTGGTCAAGTGTAATATCGGTCGTATCTTTAACAAAAAAAGAAGTTGAATTTCGGAGATGGGGGTAAAATACATATTTTTTATCGCGTTTTTATGCTACAATTTATCTGGGATCAAATATGATGACTTTTTGAGATATTCAAATTTTTTGTTATTAGTAGGTGTCAAGTATAATATAGGCAAAAACCGGGTTGTGCAACCCAACCCAAACAGTCGAAAATTGTTTTAAAATACGACAAATGGATTTTTCCGTGTATTTTAGTGCTTTGGACACTTCTATTCCCCATCTAATTTGCATAAAATCCGGAAGTTTCGGACGAAAAGGGAATTTTTGATGACAAATCCTCATAAATATGGTTTTTTTGGTCTTTTATGGCAATTTTTGGAGGTTCAGACTAAAAAGGTCTCAGTGGATTCAATTTCAGAGTATTTGTAATCAAAATAACTTTTTTGTTTTCCAGTTTTTTTCAAGTTTCAGCTTCGTATAATACCGGATATCGACCAAAATTTCTCGCACTCTTAGACGCCTTTGAGCCTCCAACGTTTTGATTTTTAATTTTTGCACCCTTCAAATGACGTCATTTTGACAAGTCGCGGTTCAAAATGGCCAACGAAAAGAAGTCGTTTTTTTCAAAGTGCACGGTGCAAAACGTCTTGACTGCACAGTGCGGTGTCGTGCGACAAACTTGTCGCGCGGCGACAAGCGAAATTCACGATGCCCTGCGACCCCGCACAGTGCAAAGAGATTGTTTTGAAAAGGGTAAACAATGCACAGTGCGCTCTTCCTTCGCACCCCGCCAAAATTTTGTCGCGCGGCACCTTGTCGCAACACCGAATTCATGCGCCTGCACAGTGCGAAAACATGTCAAGACGTTTTGTTTTTGTTTCTTGCACTGTGCAGCCGGCGAAATTCCTTTGCACCGTGCCGCAACTTTCATTTCGTTTGCACAGTGCGATCTGTCGCGGCTATCGTTGATTTTTTCCATGCACAGTGCAAAGTTTTTTCCGCACTGTGCAGATTTTTCTTTTTTGCGCGATCCGCCATTTGCACTGTGCAACCGGTAAATTTGCACGACGCTCGCACCGTGCAAACTTTCATTTCGTTTGCACAGTGCGATCTGTCGCAATTATCGTCGCTTTTTTCCTTGCACAGTGCAAAGTTCTTTCCGCACTGTGCAGATTTTTATGAACATTTTTTTTGCACTGTGCAAAAAAAAATTTCTTTTGTTTGCACAGTGCAGTTGGTCGCTGTGCCTTTGATGCATTCTTTTTCGTTACCTGCACGGTGCAAATTCATCTTCGCACAGTGCAGTCGGCTGAAAATTTGCTTGCACTGTGCGGCCCACTTTTCTCTTGTTTTGGCACCGTGCAAGACTTCAAAAAGCAAAAAAATGAATGAACAATGGCATGACGTCACTTTTTACAACTACAATTTACGTGGAAAAGACCAGAAATCAAATGCACTTGGAGTTTTGAAAAGAATAAATGAAGTGCACCGTGCATTCAACTCAAAAGTCTTGTTTATCGCTTCAGGCGTCTGGAAAAGTTCTTTTTTTGCTCCCGCAGGACTTGGAATTCCAGAGACGAGGTTTTTATTTTAATAACTTTTATTTTTTCTTTAATTTAAACAAAATTTTCCGGAAATTTTTATGTTACAGTAATCCATGTGGCTGGAAATAATAAAATTTTGGAGGGACATGATGAACTTCACCTGCTTTTCAATTACTGAGATGAAAATTTAATCAAATTTGACTTAAAGTCTGTAAAAACAATTAGTTTTCGTCGCACTGTGCCGATGAATAGGCTTTTTTGAACAAAATTTTTGCACCGTGCGGTT